GGCTCGCTGTTTCACTCGCTGCTGCTGCTGCGCTCGCTGCTGCTGCTGCTGCTGCTGCTGCTGCAGGCGGAGCTGCTGCTGGACAACGGGGCCTCGCCTGAGGTGTACGTACTCTCTGCGCGGCTGCCTTCTCCTCTTTTCTATTCTGTCTTTTGGGGTTTGCTGCCGCTCGTGAGGCTTCTCTTGTCTTACGGCGCAAACCCATTCATTGCCAAAGAAGTGAGTTCCTGCTGCTGCTGCTGCTGCTGCTGCTGCTGGTGCTGCTGCTGCTGCTGCTGCTGCTGCTGCTGCTGCTGCAGCTGCTGCAGCTGCAGCAGCAGCGGCAAATTGCTTCAGCGCTGCAGCGGCTGCAGCAGCAGCAGCAGCTGCTGCTGCTGCAGCTACCGCAGCTGGTGCTCCTGCTGCTGGAGCTGCTGCAGCTGCTGCTGCAGATGCTGCTGCTGCTTCTTTTTCTGCTTCTGCTGCTGCTGCTGCTGCTGTTGCTGCTGTTGCGCGTCTGCGCGTTGGCTCCCGCGCGCGTCCTGCGCCTCCCGCATCTGCTGCTGCGCTATCTGAAGCTGACTCATCTCAAACAAATTAAATAATAAATAAATAAATAAATAAATAAAAATAAATAATAAATAAATAAATAAATAAATAAATAAATAAATAAATAAATGTTTTCAGAACGGAGAAGGCCTCGAAGTCACTGCCCGCCGGGCGCTGCACTTCTCGCTGCTGCAAAAGCCGCAGCACATTTTGAAGCTGCCGCTGCCCAAGGCCTCCCCCGCAGTTTGCAGACAAATTCTTTCGCTCGTTGGTCTGCTGCTGCTGCTGCTGCTGCTGCTGCTGCTGCTGCTGCTGCTGCTGCTGCTGCTGTTGCTGCGCGTGCTGCTGCTGCTGCTGCTACTGCGCGTGGTGCTGCTGCTGCTGCTGTGCGTGTTGTTGGTGCTACTGCTGCGCGTGGTGCTGCTGCTGCTGCTGCGCATGCTGCTGCTGCTGCTGCGCGTGCTGCTGCTGCTGCTGCTGCTGCGCGTGCTGCTGCTGCTGCTGCTGCTGCGCGTGCTGCTGCTGCTGCTGCTGCTGCGCGTGTTGCTCCTGCTGCTGCTGCGCGTGCTGCTGGTGCTGCTGCTGCGCGTGGTGCTGGTGCTGCTGCTGCGCGTGGTGCTGCTGCTGCTGCGCGTGGTGCTGCTGCTGCTGCTGCTGCTGTGCTTGGTGCTGCTGCTGGCGTTGCTGCTGCGTTCGATGATGCTGTTGCTGCTGCTACCGTGCTTGATGCTGCTTATGTTGTGCTGCTGTTCTTGCTGCGTGGCTGCTGCTGCTGCTGCTGCTGGTTTTTTGCTGCTGCTGTTGTTGCTGCTTTTGCCGCCGGGGCCAGTGCTTCTGCCCATCGTTTCTGTTATTTCCTTTGTTGCTGCCAATGCTGCTGCTGCTTTTGCCGCTGCTGCTGCTGATCGAGCAAGTTGCTGCTGCTGCTGACTTTGCTGCTGCTTGCTGCCGCTTGTGCCTGCAGAAACGGCGCAGCGGCGCTGGGCCTCCATTGTGCTGCAGTCCGTGAGCAGCAACGAGAGCGACCCCACAGCAGCAGCAGCAGCAGCAGCTGCTGCTGCTGCTGCTGCTTCGCGCAGTGGCCTCAGTGCTGCTGATGTTGCACCCAAAGCCCCCGAGCTGCTGCGGGCCACTTGGGAGTCTTCAGTGCTGGAGGGCCCCCGCAGCCCTGCAGCAGCAGACTCGTTTCTTAGCAGCAGCAGCAGCAGCAGCAGCAGCAGCGGGAGCAGCAGCAGCAGAAGCATCATTAGTAGCCTAGAAAGCAGCAGCTGGTACCCTGGGGGCCCCCTCTCCTGTGTGACAGAGAAGGACCTGGGATTCCCACGGGGGGCCCCCCCTGCAGCAGCACTTGCTACGCATAAGGAAGAGGGTACTGCAGCAGCAGCTAAGGGCCCCCTCGCTGCTGCTGCTGCTGCTCCTGCTGCTGCTGCTGCTGGCATAACAGGGGTTTCTGGGGGCCCCCTCTCCCGCCTCCCCTCTGTCTCATGCCTGTTTGAAGAGGCCCCACAGGGGGCCCCCGGGGCCCCTGCCAAGGGGCCTCCGCATGCACCCTTTTTAAGCAGCAGCAAGCCAGAAAGGGGGGCCCCCAGCAGCAGCGAAGGTACCCTTTTGGGGGCCCCCTCTTCGGGCGCCTGGCCTTGGGCCCCAAGCCCTTCTCTAGATATCTTTGCAGCAAATAGTCCTGGTAGCCCTGCTGCAGCTGCTGCTGCAGCTGCTGCTGCAGCTGACGCTGCGGCTGATGCTGCTGCTGCTGCTGCAGCTGACGCTGCGGCTGATGCTGCTGCTGCTGCTGCACCCAATGCTGCAGCTGACGCCCCTGCGCACCTCCTCGCCATCAGTCCTGCTGCTGCTGCACCTGCAGCAACAGCCGCAGCAGCAGCAGCAGCAGCAGCAGCAGACAAGTCTGCGGCCGTTTCAAATGCAGAAGCTGAGAAGCCTTGGGGGGCCCCCCTCAAGGTTTCTTTGTGCCCTACGGGGGCCCCCCAACCGCCAGTCCCAGGGGGCCCCCAGCAGCAACTCTCGGGGGCCCCCCTTCAGCCAACTTCAGGGGCCCCCAACAGGACTGTACCCTTTGGGTCCACTTCTGGGGGCCCCCCTGAGTCGACTTCTGGGGGCCCCCAAGATTCCGCTTCTGGGGGCCCCCTAAAGTCCAGCTCGGGGGGCCCCGCAGAGTCCACCTCAGGGGGCCCCCCAGAGACCAACTCGGGGGGCCCCCTGGAGTCTGCCTCTGGGGGCCCCCAAAAGTCCACCTCAGGGGGGCCCCCAGAGGCCACTTCAGGGGCCCCCTCAAAGACCAGCTCGGGGGGCCCCCCAAAGACCACTTCTGGGGGCCCCCTAAAGTCCACCTCGGGGGGCCCCCCAAAGACCACTTCTGGGGGCCCCCTAAAGTCCACCTCGGGGGGCCCCCTAAAACCCACTTCTGGGGGCCCCCCGAGGTGGAAGCGCTTCCGCCGCGAGTTTTCTTTAGGGCACTTCTTTAACCGCAAAAAGACCAGGGGGCCCCACTAAGGGGGGCCCCCAGGGGGGCCCCCTAAAGGGGGCCCCCAGGGGGGCCCCCTGGCCCCAATAAAAGAGGGGGGCCCCACAGAGGGGCCCCTAGTTTTGGGTCATAAGGCAGCAAGGAAGGTATCAAGCCGGCATTTTAGGGTTTGCATGCAGCAGGGGCCCCGTGGGCCCTAGGGTTTAGGGTTTAGGGTTTAGGGTTTGTTTTGGTCTTTGCTGCTGACGCCATTTATACATTTTAATATGTTGCTGTTTTATCTCCAATTCTATTTTATTATTTAGCAACAACCAGCAGACTAAGGGGCCCCTAGGGGCCCCCAAGGGGCCCCCAGAGGGCCTCCTTAGGGGCCCCTAGGGGCCCCCAAAGGGCCCCGAGAGGGCCTCCTTAGGGGCCCCCAAGGGGACCTTGAAGTGACTGCAGCAGAGTTGCTGCTAGAGCTATGCTGCAGCAGCAAAGGCAGTCCTGCTGCACTTTCTTGGGTGCTGCTTTTAATTTAGGGCCAGGGGGTTCCTGCTGCTGCTGCTGCTGCTGCTGCTGCTGCCAGGCCCCTTCTAATGCGGGCAGAGCAGCAGCAGCAGCACAGCCGGGCAGGTCCTTGGAGGCCCAGGGTCAAGGGTTTGAAATCTAGGGCTTAGGGTTTAGGGTTTAGGGTTTACGTGGAGTGATGGAGTTGAAAAGAAAGAGGGAAAATTGATGCAGCAGCAGCAGCAGCAGCAGCAAAGCAGCAGCAGCAGCAGAGAAGAGGCAGTTCTGCTGCTGCGGCTTCGCTGCTGCAGCTTTGCTGCATGCGGTGTACGTACAGGGGCCCCTTTTTGCGCCTGCAGGGCCCCGCTGCCGCTGCTGGGGCCCCCCTGCAGCAGCAGGGGCCCCCTTAAAAGTCAGAGCTGCTGCAGTTGCTGCAGCTGCTGCAGCTGCTGCAGCAGCTGCAGCACTTAAATATGGGTACTACAGCTCGCAGGGGCCCCTAGGGGGCCCCTGCGAGCTTTTGCTGCAGTGGGCGCTCTGGGGCGTCTGGGTAAGCCCGCTGGCAGACAGCCAGGTGGGCAAATAGACCACTTTTGGGTTTAAATTGAATTTAATTTCATTAAATTGAATTAAAATTGAATTAAATTAAATTAAATTATAATTTTCCTGTTGTTTTAGGCCCGCGTATGCCGCTGCACACACTGTCTGGGCCAGCACGGGCGGCGCCCGCTGGTGCGGCGCACACCTCTGAAACCGCGGCGAAATGGCGCTTATTCTTCACAAATAACCCTTTTTCAATGTTAAAGAATTCAATTTATTTAAATAAACATTATAAAAGCTTTATTTCGCGGCGTCTGGAGCTGCTAGCGTGGCCACGGGGTGTCGGGCGGCGGCGGTGACTCTGGCGGTGACCGGGCGGCTCTGCCGCGGCTCCTGCAGCGAATGTCTTTGTTTGCTTCTGCAAAAAAGAAATAAAATAAGTACATTTAAACTCAAATTTAAGTTGAATTTCGAAGCTGCAGCAGCGGGGCAGCGAGCAGCAGCAGCAGCAGCAGCAGCAGCAGCAGCAGCAGCAGCAGCTCGAGAGACGGCCGGGTGACGCGGCCGAAGCTCCCATGCGCTGCGGCCGTTTGCTTGCAACTCGAATTGTTTTCTTTTATCTTTTTTATTTTTTATTTATAATTGCAAAAAGGCAAAAAGACTAATGCCCGAAGTTCCTTCTCAGTAGCCCTGGCGCTCCCCCGCAGCAGCTGCTTCTTCCCCTGTCTATCGCGTCAGCTGCTGCAGCAGCAGCAGCTGCTGCTGAAACAGCAACAACCCTCGCAGCAGGCTGCAGCAGCAGCCCCCAAAACCCTTCCCGGCGGCTTGAGAAGCAAGCAGCTGCGGCCTCAGCAGCAGCAGCAGCAGCAGCAGCACCTGTCGCCACCGCAGCAGCAGCAGCAGCGCAGCAGCAGCAGCAGCAGCAGCAGCAGCAGCAGCAGCAGCAGCTCCTGTCCCCCTCACAATGGCCTACGCAGCTCTTCATGAGGGCCAAGAGCCCCACAACTTCGGGGGGGGCCCCCCAGGCTCTTCTTTATCTTCTTTTTTGTCTAAGGGCCTCAACACTGCAGCAGCTTTAGGGGACTCTGGGGTTTCTACCCGTACCCACAGCCCCCTGGGCTCTTCAGCGGGCCCCAGGGGCCCCCACGAGGGGCCCCACGGGGGCCCCCCGGGGGGCCCCCACGGGGGCCCCCCCGGGGGCCCCCACGGCCCGGGGGGCCCCCTCGACTCGGGGGCCCCCAGCAGCAGCAAGTCTGTGCCCCAGGAGGCCCAGGGGGAAACTTCAGTGAGGACTGTCCGCAGCGACAGCCAAGAGGGTACTGATTTGGGGCCCCCGGGGGCCCCCGGGGGCCCCGGGGCCCCCGGGGCCCCCGGGGGCCCCTACAAACCCAAAAAGCTCTTTTCCTTTGAAGACGCAGCGCAGCAGCGCAGCGGGGCCCCACACTCTGTCCCTGAAAGGGCCCTAAGGCTAGTAACTGCTTTGACGGGTGAGTCTAAAAGAAAAGCTAATTTAAGCAGCAGCAGCAGCAGCAGCAGCAGCAGCAGCAGCAGCAGCAGCAGCAGCAGCAGCTCCGCCAAATTCATACTTTACTTGGCAGAAGCAGCAGAGCCCCAGCAGTCCTGGGGGCCCCGGGGGCCCCGCAAAACCCTCTAGGGTTCATTTAAAGGCCTGGGGGGCCCCTTAAGAGCCCTGGAGTTTCTTGGGGGCCCCTGGGGGCCCCTGGGGGCCCCTGGAGGCCCCTGGGGGCCCCTCTGGGGGCCCCTGGGAACCCCAGGGCCCCTTTAAGCCCGGGGGCCCCTGGACAGCCAGGGGATTTCTGGGGCCCGCCGGGGCATTTCTTTGGAAGCTCTCTTTTGCTGCCACCACTCGGCTGCTGCTGCTGCTGCTGCTGCTGCTGCTGCTGCTGTTGCTGCTGCTGCTGCTGAGAGAGCTGCTGAGAGATTTTGGGTGTCTGTGGGGTTGTGGGGTGTCTGTACACCTGAGGGGCGGAAGGCTGGGAGTTGGCAGCAGAAAAGGGCAGGGGCATTTAATTTGCCGCTCCGCTGCTGCTGCTGCTGCTGCTGCTGCTGCTGCTGCTGCTGCTGCTGCTGCTGCTGCAGCTGCTGCTGCTGGAGTGCCCTTTGCCTGCCGCGACAGCTGGCGGCGCAGCCAGTTGGCTCTGGTGCGGCTGACAGCAGCAGCAAAAGAAACTGTGGGGCTCAGCAACCTCGTCCTCGGCATGCATGTCTTTGTCGGTGAGCTGCTGCTGCTGCTGCTGCTGCTGCTGCTGCTGCTGCTGCTGCTGCTGCTGATGTGGCTGCTGACGCTGCTGACGCTGCTGTTGCTGGTGGTGGTGCTGCTGCTGTTGCTGTTGCTGCTGGTGCTGGCGTTGCTGCTGCTGCTGGCGTAGTTGCTGCTGTTGCTGCTGCTGCTGCTGCTGTAGCTGTTGCTGCTGCAGGTGCAGCTGTTGCTGCTGCTGCTGCTGCTGTGGGGTCGCTACGGACGCCAACGCACGCAGCGGGGCGAGAGGCGGCCACGGCTCTGCCCCGCCCGCAGCAGCAGCAGCAGCAGCAGCAGCAGCAGCAGCAGCGGCGCGTGTGTGTGCTGCAGCTGCTGCTGCTCTTTTCTTTCTTTCTGCTTCCTCGCTGCTGCTGGGGGTGGCCCCCCGCCTCCCAGCCCTCAGCCGGCTTCTTTGGGGGCCCCTCTTGGGGGCCCCCCTGGGCCTCTGTACCCACGCAATAGCGAAGCTGCATGCGAAAGCCAGTTAGTTTTCCAGGGTTTAGGGTTTAGGGTTTAGGGTTTAGGGTCTAGGGTTTGGGGTTTAAGGCTTGAGGTTTAGGGTCTAGGGTCTGGGGTTTAGGGCTTAAGGTTTGGGGTTTAAGGCTTGGGGTTTAGGGTCTAGGGTTTGGGGTCTGGGACTTGGGATTTGGGGTTTAGGGTTTAGGGTTTAGGGTTTTAGGGTTCAGGGTTTAGGGTTTAGGGCTTGGGCGCCCCCAAATTCAGATATTTGAAGAGGCAACAAGAACCACTTTAAAGAAATCTTTGATTTATAAACGCATGCGAACGCTGCTGCTGCTGCTGCTGCTGCTGCTGCTGCTGCTGCTGCTGCTGCTGCTGCTGCTGGTGCTGCTGCTGCTGCTGCTGCTGCAGGCCTGCGTCTGTACTGGCCGTCTGAGAGCACGTCGTGCCGCCCTTCTGCTGCGCTGCGGCTGCTGCAGCTGCTGCTGCAGTTCTGCTTTGCTGCAGCAGACCTCAGCTGCTGGCTTGCTGCTGTGCTGCTGCACAGCAGCAGCTTTTCTTTGCCTTGCATTACTTTTGTTGTGCCTCTTGTTTGCTTCTGCCGCATCGGCAGCAAAGCTTTGCTGCAGCTGCTGGCCCTTTCCCTCGCCCCGGACTTCACCTACGACTTCTACGAGGGCCCCCTGGGGGCCCCCCTGGGGGCCCCCGTGGGGGCCCCCCTGGGGGCCCCCTGCTGGTGTCTTTTCTCAGGAGAGTCTCCAGCTGGCTCAAAGTGGACCTCTGGCTGCAGTGGTTTGGCACTCTTCCAGACTTCTATGGACCTTCTGATGGTCAGCTAGGGTTTAGGGTTTAGGGTTTAGGGTTTAGGGTTTAGGGTTTAGGGTTTAGGGTTTGGGGTTTAGCTGCCCACAGGGGAGGCAGGGGTTCGCAGCTCCCACAGAGCGCTGCTGCTGCGGACTAGCGAAGGGTCACTCGCTGCCACTGCTGCTGCTTGTGCTGCTGCTGCTGCTGCTGCTGCTGCTGCTGCTGCTGCTGCTGCTGCTGCTGCTGCTGCTGCTGCTGGCTGATGACGCCTGCAGTTTCTGTACGCCCGCAGGGCGCTGACCTGGCCCTCTACCTGGGGGCCCCCTGGGGAGAAGTTGGGGCCTTCGAGGGGCCCCCCATTTATGAGCTGCAGCAGCACGGGGGGCCCCCTGCTGCTGCTGCTGAGCGGCTGCTGCCAGCAGAAAGGCCCGCAGCAGCAGCAGCAGAAGAGGTGCTGCTGCCGTTCGAAGCAGCAGCAGAAGACTGCGCTGCTTTCCTGGGGCTTCCGGGCCACGGGCCCACCCTCAGCCGCTCTTGCTGCTGGTTTGCTGCTGCAGCAGCAGCAGCAGCAAACTTCATTTATATGTGCATAGATGGGTCTTTGGCTTTCTTATCTATGGGGGGCCTCGCGCTGCTCTGCGGCCAGCGGCTCCCTGCTGGTTTGCTGCTGTCGGGGGCCCCCCTCTTTGCTGCTACCTGTGCCCTCTCGGAGGCCCTTCTTGCTGCAGCAAAGCAGCTGCTGTTCTCGCTGCTGCTGGAAGCAGAGCGCAGCGGGGCCCTTGGGGGCCCCCTGGAGGCCCCTCTGAGGCCCTCCTGGGTGGCTCTCGGGGAGCAGCAGCAGCAGCAGCAGCAGCAGCAGCAGCAGCAGCAGCAGCAGTACAGTCTGTGGCAGAAGGTGCTGCGCGTTTTTGGCCACGTGGACCCGTCGGCGTTGCTGCGCAAGGCCGTCAGCAGCAGCAGCAGCAGCAATGCGGAAGCAGCAGCAAACCAGAACCAGCAGCAGCTGCTGCAGCGGCTCAGCTGCGAAGACGTCGAAGCAGCTCTTCCGCGGGACCTGCAGGAGCAGCGGGAGCAGCAGCAGCTGCAGCAGCTGCAGCAGCTGCAGCAGCTGGAGAGAAGCCCCGCGAGCCCGGCAGAGCCCGCGCTTTCTTCCAGCTGCAGCAGCAGCAGCAGCAGCAGCAGCAGCAGCAGCAGACGCTTCAACGGGGCACACGGCCACAGGGGGGCCCCCAGCGACAGCGAAGACCTCGATGAGGGGCAGGAGGCCCTCTGATATATATAATATATATATTTATATAAATGTGAACTGAGTCAGTGTGCTGCTGCTGCTGCTGCAGCAGCAGCAGCAGCAGCAGCAGCAGCAAGCTTAGCAAGAGAATAAAAGCACAGAAAGACTTAAAAAGAATAAACAGAAATCCGTTAATTTATTTGCTGCAGCAATTCGCAGGCGACTGAGGCTGCCAGGGCTCTGCTGCAGCGCAGCAGCAGCTCCTCGCTTTTGCTGAAAAGACGAAACTGCATTTAAAATATATTTGAAAGGAATAAATTAAAAATAAATTAAAAATAAATTAAAAATAAATATAAAATAAATATAAAATAAATTTAATTTGAAAACAAAGTACAAACAAATTCGAAAAGAATAAAGGTGCAGCAGCAAGCTGGGGTGTACGTACACCCCAGCTTGCTGCTGCACTTTTATTCTTTTCTTCTTTTGCTGCAGCGCCTCAATTGCCTTTATTTACTTTTATTTTTAAAAATATTTAATTTAAAAATAGCTCAAAAAGACCCTCTTTCAAATTCAAAAAGATTTGAAGTTTAAATTGAAAAGATTTGAAATTTAAATTGAAAAGATTTGAAATTTAAATTCGAAAAGAATGCAAATTGAAAAAGATCTGAAATGCAAATGAGGCTAAGATTCTTTTTGCTGCGCATTCGCAGCTGGGTCGTCGAGCAGCAGCAGCAGCAGCAGCAGCAGCAGCAGCAGCAGCAGCAAGAGCAGCAAGAACTGCTGCAGCGCTGCTTCAACCGCGTGCACCTCACTGATCACGCAGCTTGCCGCTGCTGCTGTTGCTGCTGCTGCTGCTGCTGCTGCTGCTGCTGCTGCCTGTGCTGCTCACGTGTCCTTCCTTTTGCGACTTTGCGCAAAATTAGAAGCAGCAGACACACAGCGCAGAGGCCCCACACTTCTGTGGGGCCCCACACTCCTGGGGGGCCCCACACTTCTGTGGGGCCCCACACTTGAGGGGGCCCCACAGCTCTGGGGGCCCCCCTTGAGCTAACACTCTCTTAGTTTAATGCGGGCAGCGAAGCGAATTAATGAATGCTTTCTAAAGCTGCCTAGCTGCTGCTGCTGCTGCTGCTGCTGCTGCTGCTGCTGCTGCTGCTGCTGCTGCTGCTGTGCTTCATGAGGCCCCATGAGGGGCCTCAAGGGGCACAGCAGCAGCAGCTCCAGAAGCTTTTCTGGGGGCCCCTCAGCAATGAGGGTTCACTGGGTGAGGCTGGGGGCCCCCCGGGGGCCCCCGGGGGCCCCCCTGGATCCCTCGCCGTGTGTGCTTTTTGCTGTTAGCTCTCTTTTGGGTATCTTTTTGCCTCAAATTTGCATTATTTGTTTAAAATAATTAAAAATATTTAATTAAATTAAGTTAAATAAGCCCAAAATGATAGCAGACAGCTGAGTGACCGCCGGGGGGCCCCGAGAACCCTCAGGGGCCCCCGGGGCCCCAGGGGGCCCCCCGGGACCGCAGGGGGGCCCCCGGGGCCCCCAGCCCGAGAAGGAGTTCTGCTTGTGCTGCAGCAGAGCCACATTTAAAATAAAAGTCTTTATTAGATCTTTTTGAAACCAAAATAAGGCATTTTTGGGGGCCCCCGGCTGCTTCTGGGGGCCCCGCGGGAAGCAGCAGCCAGGGGGCCCCCAGCTGGCCTCAGCAATGGCTGGCTGGTGAGCTGCAGGGGCCCCACAAGCATGCATGCACAGCGGGGGCCCCACTGGGTACTGCTGCTGTTCGTGCTGCTGCTCCTGCACCCGCAGCAGCAGCAGCAGCAGCAGCAGCAGCAGCTCGTTTCTGGCTTTTTGCTGCCAGCAGTGCCCCCCGCTGTCTGCAGCTCTCGGGGCTCTGCAGCGTGTTGGGGCCCCGCAGGCCGCTTCCCCGGGGGTCCCCCCCCCGGGGGGCCCCCCCCGCCCTGGGGGGCCCCCTGGCCAAGCTCCCCGGGGGCCCCGGGGGCCCCGGGGGCCCCGGGGGGCCCCGGGGGGCCCCCCCGGGGGGCCCCCCGGAAAGGGTACCGGGGGGCCCCCCGGGGGCCCCTGGGGGCCCTTCTGAACTCGCCGGCGCAGGCGAAACTGGCGGCCCTGGGGGACGGGAAAAGCCGCAGCGGGGAATATTTGGTGGCGGAAATTGGGGGGAGAAAAAGGTGGCTGGAAAGGGGGCGTTTTTATGATGTGAATCTGCTGCAGCAAAAGGAGGGGGGGCTGCTGCTGCTGCTGCGCGTGCTGCTGCTGCAGCAGCAGGACGGCACGCTTCTCCTCGGCCAGCCCTTTCTCGAGCACATTCGGGTCAGCGCTCCCACTCCCCAGCTAGCTAGCTAGCTCGCTCGCTAGCTCGCTCGCTAGCTCGCTGGCTAGCTGGCTGGCTAGCTGGCTAGCTGGCTGGCTAGCTAGCTGGCTGGCTAGCTAGGGGGCTTGCTGGGTGGGAGGCTAGCTAGCTGGAGGCTCGCTTGCGAAGAGGCCAGCTAGCTCACAGACTAGCTAGCCAGGAGGCTAGCTAGCTAGAAGGCTAGCTAGCTAGAAGGCTAGCTAGCTAGAAAGCTAGCTAGCTGAGAAGCTCTCTAGCTACAAGCCTAGCTAGCTAGCAGGCCATCTGGCTAGGAGGTTAGCTAGCTAGGGGGCTGGAGACCTGAAAGGCCTTCTGGAGAGGAGTTTAGCCAGCTCGAGTGTTAGCTAGTTCGTTAGCTAGCTAGCTACGAGCTAGCTAGCTAGGTAGCTAGCTCGTTAGCTAGCTAGCTAACTAGCTCGTTAGCTAGCTAGCTAACTAGCTCGTTAGCTAGCTAGCTAGCTCGTTAGCTAGCTAGCTAACTAGCTCGTTAGCTAGCTAGCTGGCCCGTTAGCTAGCTAGCTAGCTCGTTAGCAAGTTGGCTAGTTAGCTAGATAGCTAGCTAGCTCGTTAGCTAGCTAGCTAGCTCGTTAGCTAGCTAGCTAGCTCGTTAGCTAGCTAGCTAGCTCGTTAGCTAGCTAGCTAGCTGCTAGTGGGTGCTGGCGCTGTTTGCGCATAGGCTGGGACTTAAGCCAGCTCTTTAGCGCCTGCCAGCAGCTGCCGCACCCGCGTTTTCACTCAGCGCCGCGTCTGCTTCTGCTGCTGCTGCTGCTGCTGCTGCTGCTGCTGCTGCTGCTGCTGCTGCTGCTGCAGGTGTGGGCGACGGTGGTGAAGCACTTCCGGGGCCCGAAGCTGCACCTGGGGAAGCAGCGGCCGAAGAAGTGGCGGAAAGTGTGGGGCCATCGCCAGGCCCAAACTCGAATTCGAATTGACAAAATTGAAGACACAAAAGAGACTTTGCTGCTGCCAAACGCCCTCCAAGACCCCCTCCTCGCAGCCCTCCTCGTAAGCCCCCAGCAGCAGCAGCAGCAGCAGCAGCAGCAGCAGCAGCAGCAGCAGCAGCAGCAGCAGCGGCGGCGTAGCAGCAGCAGCAGCAGCAGTCGTGCAGTGAAGGGGGGGCAGCGCGCTGTGGCTGCGCGCGGGGTGTATGCGCAGCTGCGTGGGTGTTTGGGGTGCACGTACAGCTGGGCGCTGCAACTCGCTTCTGCTTTGCTGCTGCTGCTGCTGCTGCTGCTGCTGCTGCTGCTGCTGCTGCTGCTGCTGCTGCTGCTGCAGGCGGTGCGGCGCGCGGAGAAGCCGAGTCGGGTGCTGCCGCAGTACAAGAAGCTGGGGCTGCAGGCAGCAGACCGGAAGGAGCTGCTGCTGCTGGGCGAAGACCCTTTGGCTCTTTTTGACCCCAAAATGAATCAATTTGCTGCTGACAGATTAGCAGCAGGACACTCCGACGTTTTGCCCATTCTCGGCGAGGGGCTGCAGCCCCAGCCGCAGCAGCAGCTGCTGCGCCTCCTCCAGCCCCGAAGGCACTAGCTGCCCAGGCCTAGCGTCGCAGCAGCAGCAGCAGCAGCAGCAGCAACAGCAACAGCAGCAGCAGCAGCAACAGCAGCAGCAGCAGCAGCAGCAGCAGCAGCAGCAGCAGCAGCAGCAGCAGCGTGTACGGGGCTGTGCTGCTCCGAGGCGGCACTGCCTTGAAAGTCTCGAGACCGCCTGGCGGCCTCTGGCCGGATTTTTCTTTGAAAGTGAAAATAATTAAATTGCAAATAAATTAGTGAAGTGCAAAATAATTAAATTGCAAATAAATTAGTGAATTGCAAAATAATTAAATTGCAAATAAATTAGGTAAATTAATTAAATATAAATTGAACTAAATCTGCTGCTTTTGCTGCTGAAGCAGCAGCACCAAGCGGAGGTTTGCTGCTGCCCTTGGGGCCCCTGCTGCTGCTTAGGGGCCCCCAGCTGCAGCAGCGGCCTCTGGGGGCCCCTCCTGCTGCTGCTGTGCTGCTGCTGTGCTGCTGCTGTGCTGCTGCTGCGCTGCTGCTGTGCTGCTGCTGCGCTGCTGCTGTGCTGCTGCTGTGCTGCTGCTGCGCTGCTGCTGCTACGTTTGGCGCTTGCGGGGAGCAGCAGGAGACGCCAGGAAGGCGCAGCGGGCCCGAGTCTGCAGCAGCAGCAAATTGGCAGCAGCAAATTGGCAGCAGCAAACTGGCAGCAGCAAATTGGCAGCAGCAAATTGGGAGATTTAAGAAGCAGCAGCAAATTAAAACTTGTAAAAAAATTAAAATAAATTCAAGACAGCCTCGTGGCTCACCATGGCGTCGCCGAGGGTGAACGGGCGGCTGGGGCCCTCAGGCGTCTTCAGGGGGGTCTTGTAGCCCCTGGAAAAACAATTGAAGTAAAATTAAATTAATTAAATTAATTAAATTAATTAAATTAAATTAAATTAAATCAATAAAATAAAATAAAATGTAAAAGCTCACCAAAAAGATCCTCCCCGCCTGCTGACGGGGAGCCTTTGCTGCAGCGGCGAAGTGGCGGAGCGGGGAGTGCCTGAAGGCTCTTGAGGTGACGCAGCAGCAGCAGCAGCTGCTGCAGCAGCAGCAGCAGCAGCTGCTGCTGCTGCTGCTGCTGCTGCTGCGTCGGCAGCTGCTGCGGCCCAAGGGCTTGCAGGGGGGCTGCGCATGCGCAGGGGCGTGGCTGGGCGCCGCGCGCGGCAGCTGTGGGGGCTGAAGTGGAAAAATTGGCGAAGACAAAAAGCAGAAAAAAAAAAAGAAACTCACCGAGCTGCTGCGGCCTTAGGCTTGAGAGGCAGGGGGGAAGAGTTGGCCCGCAGGGAAGTGCTGGCCGTGCAAGTCCGCGGCGACTTGAACTGGGCACTCCGCCTTGCGCGGCAGCTGCTGCGTGCCTGGGGCTGCAGCAGCAGATTTGAGCGGAAAGCCCCGCCAGACTGCAGCACTTGTGCGAAAAAAGCAAAGTAAAGTTACTTGCGTTGTTTTTGGCCTGCGGATCGGCGGCATTCCCGCGCGGAGAGCCCCCGGATCAGCGGAGTTCAAGTTCAGGTTTGCGGCCAAGTGGCTGCGGCCGGGGGCTCTTCGCCTGCTTTCCGGCGAAGGCCATTCGGCGTTTTTGTTTGCAAAAAGTCTTTTGCGGCCAAATCGACTTTGCAGACTCCGCCGTTTCGCCGGCGGCGCGCAGCTGCGCGGCCGCGGCGGAGTCCTTTGCGCCGGCAGCCGCTGCAGCTTTCCGCCGGCTGGAGAGCCACTGCGAGAAGAAATGGACATTTCGGGTGAGAATTAAAGGCAAATACACGCGCGAAAAGCCCATGGGAACTGCAGAAGTTGTTTTATTTTGCCAACAGCGAAGGCGCTTTCGAAACTGCCGGCCGCGGCTGCGCAGCGGGCCGCGAGTTCGGGTGTATAGGCAGCTCTGCAGCAGCTGCAGCAGTCGAAGAAGCCGCAGCTGCCAAAGCCCGTCAGTTCTTAAAATGGAAAATAATTCAACACTTTGCGTTTAAACGTTTCGAAAAACCAGTTGGGGTTTTGCAGAAAAGGAAAAAGCGGCAGCTTTCCACGTCGAAGTTCCCGAAATTCAAAAACATGAAAAATTCAAGTTTCCGAAGGTCCACCGAAAAAATAAACTGCAGCGGGAAATGACGCGAAGTTCACTTTTTAATTTCCGGCAGTTTTCCAGTTTTGCAAATTAATTCAACTGAGCCCTGCTTTGCACTTCTGTGCAACTCTTATGAGGGAAAGCTCCACTTAAATGTCTTTTTCTTCTTTACCACTTAAATGTCTTTTTCTTTTTTGCCACTTAAATGTCTTTTTCTTTTTTTAAATTTATCGCAAGTTCAAAGTCCCACACGCGGCAAGAGCTCGTTTGTTTCTGCATTGACGTGGCCAGTTTCTTTTTTTTATTACTATTAGAATTTATTTTTTCCATTCAAATGAACTATTAGAATTTATTTTTTTCATTACCATTAAAATTTATTTTTTTCATTACTATTAGAATTTATTTATTATTATTATTATTATTATTATTATTATTATTATTATTATTATTATTATTATTAGTTTTCATTAAGAAGTCTTCATGAAGTGGTGCTGCGGCAAAAAGGCCGGCGGCTTTTTTTCTTTTTCTTCGAAAGCCACCAACAAATCGCCTTCGCGAAAGTCCTCAAAGTCGCCGTCGAAAATGACTGCGCCGTCGCGGCCTGAAAGCCCCAAACGCATGCACAGAAAGCCCCAAAACGCATGCATGCATGCTGCATGCAGCTGCATGCATGCAGCTGCATGCATGCAGCATGCAGCTGCATGCATGCAGCATGCAGCAGCAGTTAGAGGCTTTGAAAGAAAGGCAAAAGAAGAGGAAAAGCTGCAAAGTGAAAAAGAAAAAAAGAATTGAAACTGCTGCTGCTCACTTCCTTTCGGCAAACTCGAGACCGCCTCTTTCTGCTTTTTTGCATCGACTTCACCTTCAGCCCCTCCGCCAGAGTCTTCCCGTCTCGAATCTGAAAAAAGAAATAAATAAAAATGAACTCTTTGCAGAAAGCGCCGCCCCTTGCCTGGCCCCTGAGGTGTACGTACACCTCAAGCGGCGCCCCCAGGCCCCACAAGCAGCCCAGCACCAGCTGTGGGGCCCCACACTGCAGCAGCTGCTGCCCCGCAGCTAGCTAGCTGCGCAGCAGCAGCTAGCCAGCTTTGTGGCCGGCGCGCGAGCTAGCTAGCTGGCCCGCGGGGTGTACGTACACCCACGCGCGCGCCCGGGGTGTACGTACACCGCAGGCGCGGGCGTGGGGTGTACGTACACCCCGGGCGCGGGCGTGGGGTGTACGTACACCGCAGCCCACAAACGCACCACAGAGTAAAGGTGGCGAGTGCTGGGGGCCCCCTGTTTGACCTCGAGGCCCAAAACCAGTTGGGGGCCCCCCCTTTGCTTCTTCAAAGAGTAAAACCCCACGCGGGTCACTGCAGCACGAGCTGTTTGCTGCAGCACAAATTTGCTGCCGAAGTGAAAATCCAAAACCAACTCCAAGTCCTCAAACAGCCGGTACACCACGCTGTGGCTCCGCAAAGGCACGCCCCACTCCTCCACCAGCTGCGCCAAACCCAAACCCCAAACCCTAAACCCTAAACCCTAAACCCTAAACCCTAAACCCTAAACCCTAAAACTTGCTCGGGTGAAGCGCCTACGCCCCGCCGCGCACACTGACATGCAGCAGGCTGGCCACAGAGGCAGCAGGCTGCCTCGCCAGCTAGCCAGCTAGCCAGCTAGCCAGCTAGCTAGCTAGCTAACTGGCTAGCTAGCTAGCCAGTGGCGCTCACGGGCCAATGCACCACTCTCAGCCCTCCCGTGCCAATAGCTCGAAAACGCCCCAGCTGAACTACCCAGTGGCAGGCTGGCTAGCTAGCTAGCTAGCCAGCCAGCTAGCTAGCCAGCTAGCTACCTAGCTACCTAGCCAGATAGCTAGCTAGCCAGCTAGCTAGGCAGCTAGCTAGCCATCTAGCTAGCCAGCCAGCTAGGCAGCCAGCTAGCTAACCAGCTAGCTAGCCAGCTAGCCAGCTAGCTAGCTAGCTAGCTAGCTAGCTAGCTAGCTCACCTGGCCAACGCCTTCAAGGAGAGGGACGCCAAAGGCTATCAAGATGGCCCCCGTGAGTTTGGCGTAGTTGGCGTCTGAGGGGCTGACGGGCCCCACACCGGACTTGACCACTCTGAGGGGCCTCCACTGCTGCAGCAGCAGCTGCTGCTGCTGCAGCAGCTGCTGCTGCAGCGCTTCTTTGCTGCTGCCCGGGGCCCCCCCCGCCTGCGCCGCCGCTGCTGCTGCTGGGGCGGCTGCTGCTGCTGCTGCTGCTGGGGCTGCTGCTGCTGCTGCGGCCCGGGCCAGCGCTTGCTGCACTGCAGCAGGAAGCGCCGGCTGCTGCCTGGTCCACTGGTTCTTTGCTGCTAACCAGTGGACCACTGCCTCCAGACTGCCCTGGTCTGCTGCTTTGACCACCAGCGCCACTTCGGGCAGCGCGCTGCTGCCCGAGTGCCGCAGCTGCTCCGGCCGCCACACCGTGTCCTGCTCGCAAACCCTAAACCCTAAACCCTAAACCCTAAACCCTAAACCCTAAACCCTAAACCCTAAACCCTCGTTCTAAGCCCTGGACCCCGCAAGCCCCTTCCCCTGGACCCTCTCGCCCACCTCCAGCGCTTCTCCCTCCTGCTGCTTCTGCAGGGACCGCGCCTGCACGCACCCCACGCCCAAAACCCTAAACCCTAAACCCTAAACCCTAAACCCTAAACCCTAAACCCTTTCGCCTTCATAAAACCCACACCGAAGCCCTCGAGAACCCCCCAGCACTCGCCCCACAAGAGCGCCCTCGCGCCCGCGAGCCTTCGCCTCATTCCCAGCAGCAGCAGCAGCAGCAGCAGCAGCAGCAGCAGCAGCAGCAGGGCCGGACCTGCAAGGCCCGCTGCGCCATAGCAGCAAGCTTTGCTGCCTGCTGCTGCGTCTTTGTCTGCATCACCAGCTGCCCCGCAGAAGCCTCCAACTCCCCCAGTCCTCCGATCTCCACCGCCTCATTCATTCCTGCAACGGCCACCCGCAGGGCCTCCCCGGGGGGGCCCCCCGGGGGGCCCCCCGGCTGCGGGGGCTTGTAAAGGCGCTTAATGCGGGCAAAGTGGGGCCCCACAGCCACCCAAGAACCTTCTCTGAAGTACCCCGAACGGACAATGACGCGGAGAAGACGGCCCCGGCGAGGGTCCACTACAGAGTCCAGCACGAGGCCCCCCGGGGGGCCCCCGGGGGCCCCCCAGGGCGGCGGGCCCGGCAGCAGCAAATGGTCCAAAGTCCCCGCCAGCAGCGAAATGGCCGCGCCCAAGTCCTCCAGCCCTTCTCCAGTTTTGGCACTCACGCCCACAAACTGCGCAGCAACAAACCCTAAACCCTAAACCCTAAACCCTAAACCCTAAACCCTAAACCCTAAACCCTAAAACGTGGGTTCGAAAGCTGTGGCTAGTCGGCAGCTGCAGCGCACCGGAACGTCGCCGCCGTCTTCGTAGCTCACAACGCCCAGAGCCCCGAGCTGCTTCTTCACCCTGCAGCAGCAGCAGCAGCAGCAGCAGCAGCAGCAGCAGCAGCAGCAACGGCTGGTAACGGGCATGCAGGGGAGAAGCAGCAGCAAGGGAAAAGTGAATTATAGAAGAAGATATAAAGCACAAAGTGCTTTAAAAACACTTAAATGGCATTTATGAATTTAATAAGTTAGAAAATGTATTTTTTTCATTTCTGTCAAAGTGAGATGCATGCATGCAGCATTGCTGCATTTTCAAAAGTGAATTATTTAATTAAAATGGTATTTTTAATTTAAAAAATAAACTAATAAGTGTAAAAAGTAAAAAAAGACTTTTAGAAATGTGTGGGGTGGCAGATGCTTGCTGCTGCATGCAGCAGTTCTTCTTTCGCGCTGCTGCAGCGGCATTTCCTTGATTATTTGTTTATTTGCTTTTTTTATTTATTATTTATTATTAATTATTTTTTTTTTAATTTAAATGAAAAAAGAAGCAGCAAAAGAGATGCCAGATAGCAAAAGAAAAGACAAAAGTGCGCTCCACAGCAAAGCCGCATAACACAGAGAACAGCAGCAGCGCAGCAGCAGCAGCACAGCTGCAGCAGCAGCGCAGCAGCAGCAGCGCATCTGCAGCATCATGTCAGCAGCAGCGCCTCAGTAGCAGCAGCGCAGCAGCAGCAGCATCCCAGCAGCAGCATCCCAGCAGCAGCATCCCAGCAGCAGCATCCCAGCAGCAGCATCCCAGCAGCAGCAGCGCAGCAGCAGCAGCAGCAGCAGCAGCGCAGCAGCAGCAGCAGCAGCAGCAGCAGCAGCGCAGCAGCAGCAGCAGCAGCAGCAGCGCAGCAGCAGCAGCAGCAGCAGCGCACCGTTCGACGCTGGCGCCGGGCCTGTCCATCTTGGTGACGACAACAATGAAAAGAATGTTTTTGTCTTTTATTAATTTCAAACTTTCCAAAGTTTGAAGTTTTACTCCTTCATCTCCAGCAACCACCAGCAGCGCAATGTCCGTTGCTGCTGCTCCCCGCCGCCGCATCGTCGCGAAGGCTGCGTGCCCAGGCGTGTCCACGCACGTCACCTGCTGCTGCTGCTGCTGCTGCTGCTGCTGCTGCTGCTGCTGCTGCTGCTGCTGCTGCTG